TCACCTTCCAGCTCTGAATTCAAAACTAAATTCTCTCTTAGAAAGAAACAGTCCCTCCACCAATTGCCTTAGCAAGAATGATAATCATAAATGCTTGCCATGTCCATGTGCTGCAGACCTAAAGTTCTCCCACATATTCTCTCAAAAATCTTCATGGCTATAAACCTATACATTCTGGAATGTGTGTCCTAATCTACATCCACATTTTCAGGCAGAAACTATCAAAAGTATGGTGGGCGGAGTAACACATATTGAATTATCTCACCGATTCCAGACATGACAATTGTTCAATGCTTGCAGAAAGCAAACGTACCCACTAATATCCGCTGAACTATGTTCCACCCTTAGAAGATGCTCAATCCCCTGAGAATCAATTATGAAGAATTCTGTTGGACTGCCATATGGAATAGAGACCTGAAAAAGTACAAAAAAAATGGAACAAACACGATAATATATATTTAGTTTGAAACAGAAAGAAGTTCTATTCAGATAAGAAAAGCATTACAACTAAACAAAGCAGTCTCAAGGTTCCCTTTAGTGTTCCCCAATATTATCTAGGAGTTCTTTCATGTGCTGAATTCTGACATATGCAGCTTAGGAAATTCCATTAAAAAGTAATTTGAGTCCTATGTTGTTCCATTATTAAGCAAGCCTGTTTTTGACGACTCAAGATTTATTGGATTTTCTAGCATCTATAATAAAAATTCTGTGCTGTCATGTGAATTTTTAGAACAGAACAAAGTTATTTCTTGGTTTTCTTGGTTGATTTTGATGCTATTCAAAATCAGGGTGGGTGTGGTTCAGTCAGCAAGGTAGTTATTCATACTTCTCATTTTTCTCTTCGATTTTTCTACCACATTAATACTTTCATCTTTTCTCCATTTTATGTACAACTGTCTGAATCAATTAAGCTCTTAAGCTTCTATATTGTTTTGCATTTTCCATCTTTTAATAATGGGGCATATAACGCTTTACATGACTTTGCAGTAATTCATTAACTTGCATTGAACATAAAACGCTAAAGCACCAAAAGAAAGATCGTACAAACTCAGTACATAGGAACTAGAATTCAAATTTCTTAAATGACAGTTTATTAGATGGGTGTCGCTCATTCTTACTTCTTTTTGGGGGATTGCAGAGGTGTGTGTAGTGAGAGAGAAAAATTCAAGGTTTAATGTGAGCAAACAAAAATGGATGGAGAACATACAATTATTGATGGTGAAAACTTCTCTGTGACAACAACACGACTAGGCCCATTACACTTGATGCTGTAACCATCCCTTTTTATTGCCAATGTAGCTGGCTCCCATATATCAAGATACCCAGTCTTCAGGACAAAAGAATAGGCGAAAAAACAAAAGAAGTCATAAACGAAAGCCTCATCAAAGAGGTAAGTATGATTTAGGGATAAGATAACAATCATAAGGTTAAAGAAATAAGGAATGTAAATAATCCAGTGGCACTCTTACCGACAGGGATAATTTGTACGAAGCATGACCACTGTAAAGGGTCTTCTCTATGCAATTTTGCATTTCAGGATCTGCAAGAGAAAGGAAAGATGAATGTTAAAAACTAAAGCAATAAAAATGGGCAAACCAAACAGCAAGAAAGTAATTATAAAGGAAAACTCGAGTTAAGATTTTGAATTAGATTTTGATGCCAATTGGAGTGGCAATGTGACAACTGAATTATAGGAGAATGTATTAAATGAAACTGTGGAAATATGTAAATTATTGCTGTAATTACGGCTATCTTATATGAAATTCTTGTTAATTGGATTGAATGCCTCAATTGAGGTTGTCCTTCTCCTTTATATAATAGAATTACATCTTCTAAATAAGATAATTTACAACCAAATCACCTATACGAGGAATGAATAGTTATGCACAAATCATATCTCCTAGATTAGGAAAATATAATTAAATCTCCTAGATTAGGAAATATAATCAAATCTTCTATATTGGGAATATAATCAAATCTCCTACATTACGACAACTCATTGACGCCCCCCTTCAAATTGATGATGGGCAATCAAAAAACACCAATTTGTCAACCATAAATTGATGGCAACGGCGAGATAGAGATTTGGTAAAGACATTAGCTGTTTGGTGGAGATGTGAGGAAGAGAAATCTCATGCCAACCAAGCACTTCACAAAGAGAATGACAACGTACCTCAATATGCTTGTTACGCTCATAGAAACTGAATTATTAGCAATCTTAATAGATTCGTATTATCAGCATAAAGAGTAGGAGAAAACTGCAATTTTCTCTGACAAACCCCAAAGCCATACGATTTCAAAACATGCTGACGACATGACCCAATATTCAGATTCAGTAGAAGACTTCAAGACTTAAGATTGCTTCTTAATTTTTCAAGAAATAAGTTCACCACCAACGAACGTACACCATCCAGTGATAACAGTGAGTATCGGCACAACTAGCCCAATTCGAATTTCTAAACCCCAACAATTGTAAAGAAGTTTAAGAAGGAAAGAACAAATTGCTAACAGATGTATCTTTAAGATAGCAAAGACGACGACGGACAACAACCAAATGGATCTCCAAAACCTTGTATAAATGGACTTGTATGTTGGACAACAAAAGGGATCAGGTCCAATAATGATCAAATAATTCTAGCTTCACCCATAGCACATACATTGAGGGATCAGATAAGGAATCACCACTGTATTAGCACAACTTCAAATTAATCTCCTTAGGTGTAAAAATCGAATTAATATCCTGAAGACCGATTAATGAGATAAGTTCTTGGGTATTCTTATGTTAATGCAAGAGTGTGCCAATTACACAATGTTGGACCTCTAGTCCAAGGAAATATTATAGGGGGCCAAGATGTTTCATATGAAATGAAGATTGGAATCGCAATTGAAGCTACTCAATCAACAATGGACCAGAACATTTTATCTTAAGGATCAAAAAATATCCTCCTCAACGTCACCAATAACTTGAACTAAACATAGAAGTTTAAAAAAAAGGCAATTATTCGGTCCCTAATCTCTTTACGAGTATTGAATTGACTTAAAATTGCAAACTTGATGATCCAATTGCTCAGAGGAAAGGTGTTAGATATTGTCATATTCATCCTATTTCAAAAATAATTATTTCTTATCAAAGCTTGTACTCTTCTTTCAAAGCTTTTATTGCTAATTTGTCTTTTCTGCACGTATTCCAAGTATTATACTAGAAGCTCTTGTTGTTAAAGATCTTTTTAAGAGAAAATGAGAACCATGAAAAAGAATGATACCTAGGGACTTGTTGATCTTTTCTAAGAAAGAGGCTAATAGGTAAACATAGACAACAGAGCAGATTAGAAAATTGTTTTATTTGATATTGTACACTTTATTTAATGTTGCGACTCTTAGACATATAAATAGGTTGCTCAATTTCATGTTATTTCTTTCAGATTTAAATTGATAATACACCTTCCTGTGCATTACCCATTGATTAATAAAATACTTGATTACTTTTCCAAAAAAAAAAAAAAAAAAAAA